AGGGAGAGAGACAGAGAGTCAGAAACATCGATGAGAGAGAAACATCGATCAGCCGCCTCCTGCACATCCCCAATTGGGGATGTGCCCGCAACCCAGGCACATGCCCCTGACCGGAATCGAACCCGGGACCCTTCAGTCCGCAGGCCAACGCTCTATCCACTGAGCCAAACCAGTTTCGGCAATCTGTTTTTACTTTATCCTTATATGGTATAAGAAGGTGGTCTGTTTTACTTTTTTTGTCATATATCTGTCCAATTTTCCTAACACCATTTATTGAATAGACTGTCTTTTATCCCATTGTATGTGCTTGTCTCCTTTGTCAAATATTAATTGACCATATAGGCATGGGTTTATTTCTGCATTCTCTATTCTGTTTCATTGACGTATATGTCTGTTTTCATGCTAGTACCATGTTGTTTTGATTACTATAACCTTGGTATTACAGTTTGCTATCAGGTAGCATGATATCTCCAACTTCATTTTCCTTCTTTAAGGTTGATGTGGCTATTAGAGGTCTTTTGTGGTTCCACATAAATTTTAGGATTATTTGTTCTAGTTCTGTGAAATACACCACTGGTATTTTGATAGGAATTGCATTGAATCTATAGATTGTTTTGGGTAGTATGGACATTATAATAATGTTAGTTCTTCCAATCCATGAACACAGTATATGCTTTCATTTATTTGTATCTTCTCCAGTTTCTTTCTTTAGTATCTTATAATTTTTTGAATATAGTTCTTTACCTTCTTGGTTAAATTTATTCATAGGTTGTTTTTTGATGCATTTGTAAATGGAATTTTTGCTTTTGCTTAGTTGCCTTTTCTGATAGTTCAAGATTGATGTACAAAAATGCAACCAATTTCTGAGTATTTATTTTATATCTTGCTCCTTTACTGAATTTACTTATTTATAGTAGGTTTTTTTGGTGGAATTTTTAGGGTTCTCTTTCTCTTTCATTTTATAAACTAGAGGCCCAATGCAGGAAAATTAATGCACTGGAGGGGGTGTCCCTCAGCCCGGCCTGCCCCCTCTCACAGTCTGAGAGCCCTCAGGGGTGGGAGGCGACGCCCCCATCACACCTCTGCTGCTGCAAGCCTTGGCCGGCCCTGGTTACCTGAGCCTCAGGTGGCCCTGAGGGGCTGGGCAGCTGACACCCGAGGCTTG